CACAGAAAGCCATTTTCTGCCCAGATCTTCAGGGTTTGTTACAGGGGTCATTTTGTAGAAAAAGCGGTGCAGGAGCTCATTAGCATAACTTATTTGCATATGCTACACCCCCTGACATCACCAGATGTGTGTCACAAGGCAACACCCACCACATAGGCTCCACTGGACTGTTTTGGATTGCTAGCTATGGGGGGGGGGGACGTGCAGATCTGTCCTCACAGAGGAGGGAGAGCTCCTACATGAATAAAACTTGGTCTTAAAGGTGCCACTGGACTGTTTTGGACCGGGGGGCTGGGGGGGGGCTCTGCAACTTACCTGGCTGCTTCTTGCTCTGACTGAGGGCTGCTGGGAGCAGGGGGTGGGGCTTGTTGCATGTGCCCGCCCCCTGGGCTCTTTACTGTGGGAGCTCCGCTCCTGTGCTCTCCTGCAGGAAATGACCCCTGGTTATGACACTTTGTTCTCCTGCTGGGAACTATACTTTCCCAGCTAAACAGGATGAGAGTGAGTGTCCTTTCTACGCCTGCCAGGGAACAGTAGAGGCAGAGGCAGGAACGTGTCTTCTTTGCGCCCTGAAGTGGTTCTGTTATTGGGGTTGCCAGCTTCTAATTTCCTGTGTTCTCTAATGGACCTCAACTCATTTCCACTGACTGTAAAGCTAACTCCCCCCCCCTCCCCCAGCAGTTTAATGGATGAAGGGAAGAGAGGAATTGGATGTTCTTCTGAAGGAAGGCGTCTTGTCAGCCAGGTGTGAAAAAGACTTCTCTGAGAAGAGTAAACTCATAATACATATGAGGATTCAAACAGGGAAAGAGACATATAAATGCTTGGAGTGACGGAAGAGCTTATCTTGGAATAGAATGCTAACAAAACATCATAGGATTCTCAGGGGGAGGGGAAGCTATATAAATGCTTCGAAGGTGGAAGGGTTTCAGTCAGAGCACATACCTTAGCTTGCTTCCATCTTGTTATAGGCACAGTTTATGAGACACTTTGTACTCTGCCACTGACTAACAGGTTTAACTTAACAGATGCACTTAGCACTTCCATGGTGCATATGTTAAGTGCCATTTATGATTCTAACATGTTGTTTGGAATGTATGCTGGGAATATAAAATGCTGAAGCTTGTGACCTTGCTTGTTATGGCCAGCTGTAACTGCGCATGGAATATATGAGGATTCAAGATATAGAGATTGCTGAGGTAAAACTTTCCTCTTTAGATCCCATAATGTTTTCATTGCAGTCACCATAAGGTAAAGGTTTCCCTTGCTCGAAAGCCAGTCAAATCCGACTCTAGGGGGCAGTGCTCATCTCCGTTTCCAAGCCGAAGAGCCAGCACTGTCCAAAGGTTTCCGTGGTCATATGGCCGGCATGACTAGACGCTGAGGCGCACGGAACGCTGTTACCTTCCCACCGAAGTGGTACCTATTTATCTACTTGCAATTTCTTGCTTTCGAGCTGCTAGGTTGGCAGGAGCTGGAACTAGAGACAGGAGCTCACTCCGTCATGCAGCACTCGGGTCTCAAACTGCCGAACTACCAACCTTCCGGTCTGCAGTTCAGCATCTTAACCACTTAACCACCATATTCATTAGCAAAAGGAACCATGCTTTATGCATCCAAACATTTGAATCAGGAAGTTTATCTTTTTTCCAGTTGTGTGCCAGAGTTAACCTAGCAGCAACTAATAGGTTTCTCACCAATTTATTTCTCTCTGGTTCCAGCTTCTGGGGACTATGCCTCGGAAGGCACATTTGGGGTCATTTGACAACTTCAGACTTAATAGGTCTTCTAACATTTTGAACACCTCTCTCTTTACTACCAGACAGGAACCCCAAAGATGAAGAAATAAACTATATTTACTGTTTACTGTTACATCTCCAGCATCCCTTCAAGATGGTATTCCCTATTTCTGCTGTTCTCTCTGGGGTTAAATTTTATTTTCTTTGGTCAGCATCCCATGATGCTAGCTGTATCATATTATGCTTATGTTTCTTGTACAATGTCATGTTGTTTTTTTCTGTATGTTGTTGTTCAGTCGCACAGTCGAGTCCGACTCTTCGCGACCCCATGGACAAGATCTCGCCAGGCCTTCCTGTCTTCCGCCGTCCTCTGAAGTTGGCTCAGTTTCATGTTCGTTGCATCTATGACACTGTCTAACCATCTCACCCTTTGCCGTCCCCGTCTTCTTTGACCTTCAATCTTTCCCAGCATCAGGGTCTTCTCCAGTGAGTGCTCCCTTCTCATTTGGTGGCCAAAGTATTTGAGCTTCAGTTTCATTATCTGGCCTTCCAGGGAACAGTCAGGGTTGATTTCTTTTAGGATTGACTGATTTGATCTTCTTGCAGTCCAAGGGACTCTCAAGAGTCTTCTCCAGCACCATAGTTCAAAAGAATCTATTCTTCGGCGCTCGGCCTTCCTTATAGTCCAACTCTCGCAGCCATACATGACTACTGGGAATACCATTGCTTTGACCATGCGGACTTTGGTTGGCAGGGTGATGTCTCTACTTTTTATCATGCTGTTTAGGTTCGCCATCACTTTCCTCCCAAGGAGCAGGCGTCTTTTAATTTCATGGCTGCTGTCACAGTCTGTGGTGATCTGGGATCCCAGGAACGTGAAGTCTGTCACTACTTCCATGACTTCCCCTTCTATTTGCCAAGGAGTGATGGGGCCGGATGCCATGATCTTAGTTTTTTTTGATGTTGAGTAGTATAGTAGCTGGTAAATATCCAAGAGTGGTATAGATTATTCTTGGCACAACTGTAGAATCATAGAGATCTCTGCATATGGCAGATTTAAGTTGGCAAGATTTGGAGCTTGTTAAACTATCAACAAGCAGAAGCTTTCCCTGAGGATGTGTCTCATTTGGAGGCTGGCTGAATATCCCACAGTAAGGCAGGATCGTTTCCAAATTCACACTGGAAGTGCACTTCACCTCTTCTGCTCCATCTTTATACTATGAAAGAGGAGGAATTACTTTCCCATCAATGATCCCCACCCAATGCCTCATGTTTTCCCATGAGTCAGTCTTCTGAGCATGCTTTCACACCCACTAAATAATCCACTTTTAATCCACTTCCAGTGCACTTTTAATGATAACATAATGGCTCTGAGCATGCACAAAGGTTTTTCTCTTGTGAGAAGAAAGCCTGTTTAGATGTAGAACCTGCTTTGTAGCCTTTAGGCGTCAGCACACAGCCTGCCGTTTCCCCTCCAAGGAACCTTGTAAGAAGCCAGAGTCTCCTCCCCACACAATATATTCTTCCACTTGGCGCGGCTCTTCTAATGAATGATTAAGAATAATATTTATAAGGCAGGCTATATCACACACACACCCCACACACAGAAATAAAGGTTGGCCATATTTTATTTTATTTTTTAAAGAAACCTGTTATCCGTGTATCACTGTAAATCCATGTATCTAGTAAACCGGCTGGCCCGTGTGGATGATGCTGTCTGGCCTACAGAGACCCACAGGGGTACATATTGGAGGGAGGCCCATTCTCCTATTTTCCTCCTCTCCCCTGTTTCAACCCACGTTCCAGGGCAGCTTCTGGCAGGGGACCTTCCCATCTGGAATATGGCCCCTGTATACCCTGATAGAAGATCCTGAAGACCCTGTAACAAGCTAATTTCCCCCTCTCTGGGTCCGGTTTGGGTCAGAGTCGAACACCTGCTTGGCATGTAGGAAGTCCTAGTTTTGATCCCATCTTCTCCAGTTGGAAGGATGAGGAAGACCGAGGGTCTAACTCAGTAAAAGAAGAAGAAGAGGAGATTGGATGTATACCCCACCGTTCACTACCCAAGGGAATCTCAGAGCGGCTTACAAACTCCTTTCCCTTCCCCTCCCTACAACAGACACCCTGTGAGGTAGGTGGGGCTGAGAGAGCTCTTTCAAGAACTGCCCTTTCAAGGAGAGCTCTTGTCAGAACCATGGCTTGCCCAAGATCATCCAGCAGGTGCAAGTGGAGGAGTGGGGAATCAAACGTGGTTCTCCCAGATTAGAGTCCGCGCACTTAACCACTACACCAAACTGGCTCTCATATAGGGAGGGGGGCATGCCTCAGGGCAGAGCCTCCACTTGGCAAGCAGAAGGTTCCAGGTTCAACCCCCAGCATTTCCAGCTAAAAGGAGCAGGTGTCCTGAAAGACCTCCACCTGAGACACTGGAGAGCTGCTAAAGACCTTGATGGACTAATGGTTTGATTCAGTATAAGGCAACTGCTTGTGCTCATTCTGGGGGCTTCAGGTCCACCAGACAAAAGCATTAGTTCGGTGCACGGCACAAAATGTATTGAGTTCTCTGCCACCAGATGTGGTGATGGTCCGTAGCTTAAAAGGGGAATCACACTAACTTAAAAGCGATTAGACACTTTCATAGAAAACTGTTCTGTTGGCTGTTATTTGTAAGAGCTAAATAGAACTTCCATGTTCAAGGGCAGTGTACCTCTAAATATCAGTACCCGTGTGGGGAAAGGCAAACAACAAGGGAAAGGTGTTGCCTTCTTGCCATACTTGTGGGCTTTTCAAAAGCATCTGATTGGTCATCATGGGAATCAGGATGCTGTATTAGATGAACCCCCAAGCCTTAACCAGCTGGGCTCTTTTTACGTCCTTTCGGTTTCACCATCTTTGTTCTAGCAATACACTCAGCTAGGACACACAGTAGCTTCTGACTGTCATTCTAATCTAAACCATCTGGGGTGGACGGGAAAACATGTAAGCTAAAAGTTTGCAACCCAGTAAAACAGGCTGGATAAAGACGTATCTCTCCCTACAGCTACCCCACTGCAATTTGCCTGTCTTGTTCCTTAAATCATTCCCAGACTGTTAGTCACGATATCTGCATGCTGTTCTCTAGCACTGTATGTAAGGCAACTAACTCATTTTTTCTAAAGCTATCTATGTTCCTCATTGAAGCCAGCATGTGACAAGGGGGTCTCTATGCTGCAGCAGCCCATAACTTGCTCCACCCTTTGTATTTTATCCATTATTTTCCATGTGGATTTTTTGGTGATTGATGAGGTTTGAGCTGTTCAGGAAACTTTTCCCGCAGTCCAGGCATTTGAATGGCCTCTCCCCCGTGTGGATTCTCTCATGGGTCATGAGGGAGGTCCTCGCCCGGAATGCTTTCCCGCACACCGAGCATTCGTACGGCCTTTCTCCTGTGTGGATTCTCTGGTGGGTGATCAGGTGTGCTTTATAACTGAATGCTTTCTCGCAGACCACACACTTAAAGGGCCTCTCCCCTGTGTGGACTCTCTTGTGTGTGCTAAGGCGTGAACTCACACTGAAGCTTTTCCCACACTCCAGACACTTGTATGGCTTCTCACCTGTGTGGATTCTCTCATGGCTCACCACCTCCGAACTGCGGCAGAACCTTTTCCCACAGAAGGAGCACTGGTACGGCTTGTCTCCGGCGTGGGCCCTCTCGTGGATAATGAGGTCTGTGCTCACACAAAAGCGTTTCCCACACTGCAGGCACTGGAAGGGCCTCTCCCCCGTGTGGATCCTCTGGTGTTTCTTCAGATGAGACTTCATGCTGAAGCTCTTCTCGCACTCAGTGCATTTGTACGGTCTGTCCCCCAGGTGGCTTCTCTGATGGTTAAGGAGGTCTCGTTTTTGGTAGAAGCCTTTGCTGCATTCAGAGCACTGGTACGGTCTCTCTCCCTTGTGAGTCCAGAAATGTGCGAAAAGGCCTGAGGTGTCACTGAAGCTGAGGCCACAGACCGAGCACTGGCAGCGTTTCTCCCCGGTGTGCATTCTCTGGTGGATGAGCAGGCCGGCCTTCTGACAGAATCTCATCCCACACTCTAAGCACTCGTAGGGCTTCTCCCCTGTGTGTGTTCGGTAGTGCCGCTTCAGGGCTGAGCTGACGGTGAAGCACTTTCCGCAGTGAGTACACTGGTGTGGTTTCTCTCCTGTGTGTGTCCTCTTGTGGGCACTCAGACTGGAGCTCACGCTGAAGCTCTTCCCACAGTCTGAGCACTGGTACGGCTTCTCGCCAGTGTGAGTCCTCTCATGGGCTTTCAGGCCTGATCTCACGTTGAAGCTTTTCCCACAGTCCAAACATTTATACCGTTTCTCTCCTGCGTCCACTCTCGGAGGCCTCCTGAGAGCTGGGTTCAGGGCAAATATGTGCCCAACCACAGGACTTCTTTTCTGGTTCTCACCCTTCTGGAGTACCTGTTTGCCTGTGTTTTGGAGGAGCTCACGAAAGTTCACCTCTGAACAGCTTTCTTCCTCACATGGAAGGTCCTGTTGACTCTCAGGGGCTGTTCCCGGCTTGAAACACCCGACAGCTTTTCCCACAATGATTTCCAAAGGGGTTTCTGCTTGATCAGAACTTTTCAGATCAATAATTTCCTCCAGTTTCCTGTCATCTGCTGAAATGAAGAGAGACTCATTACTTACTATTTATTATATTTAGTTACAGTCAGCCTTCTTATGGAGACTCAAAGAGGATTGCAAAATGAGAAATATAATGCAGTGAAGAAAAACAGTACAAGACAACCCATAAAAACACAACAAGTGGGTTACAAAAATTAGGAAACGATGCAGTGCAAACAATATAATAGGCACCCCTCCATCCTATGCCATAAACGAAAACTTTCCCCCCTTTATGAAAGCTCTCCTTGGCCAATTCTATTTAATGTCCCCTTTGTAAAATTGCCTTCTGACATAATGTGTATTAGATCAGTAATTAAGGCCATAAAAATGAAGAAGAAGAAGAGAAGAGATTGGATTTATACCCCGCCCTTCACTTGGAGTCTCAGAGCGGCTTACAAACTCCTTTCCCTTCCCCTTCCCCACAACAGACACCCTGTGAGGTAGGCGGGGCTGAGGGAGCTCTTGACAGAAACTGCTCTTTTTCAAGGACAGCTGTGCCAGAGCTAGTGACTGACCCAAGGTCACATCAGCAGGTGCAAGTGGAGGAGTGGGGAATCAAACCTGGTTCTCCCAGATTAGAGTCCGCACACTTAACCACTACACCAAACTGGCTCTCACCTAGTGTGGTGTAGCGGCTGGAATATCGAACTGGGATCTGGGAGATGAAGGTTCAAATCCCCACTCCGCCATGAAAGGTCGCTGACTGACCTTGGTCCAGTCACACACTCTCAGCCTAACCTCCCCCACTGGATACTCTGACTTGGATAGCCCAGGCTAGCCCGATCTCATCAGATCTCAGAAGCTAAGCAGGGTTGGCCTTTGGAAGGGCGACCTCCGAGCAATACTGGGGGCATGAGACAGAAGCAAGCAACGGCAAACCGCCCCTTTTGGTGTAGTGGTTAGGAGCCAGTTTGGTGTAGTGGTTAAGAGCGGCGGACTCTAATCTGGGAGAACCCGGTTTGATTCCCCACTCCTCCACATGCAGCTTCTAGTGTGACCTTGGGTCAGTCACAATTTCTCTCAGAGCTGCTCTCTCAAGAAAGTTCTCAAGAGAGCTCTCTCAGCCCCACCTACCTCACAGGCAATGCTCACTCTAAGATGTTTTTGTGAGCAAAAATTCTACTTTGCGAGCGACTGGCATTAAAGTTGGGAGCGGGCAATTTGGCTACGCGTAAATTAGCTTGCTCCGGAGCCCTCCTTCCTGAGCGTGAGCCGGAGGCTAAAAAACTGTGAGCTAGCTCACACTAACTCAGCTTAGAGGGAACACTGCTCACAGGGTGTCTGTTGTGGGGAGGGGAAGGGAGAGGAGTTTGTAAACCGCTCTGAGAACTCCTTTGGGTAGTGAAGGGCGGCGTTTCAATCCAATCTCCTCCTCCTCCCCCTCCTGTGTGAGAAATTCTGTCAAGTGGCAACCCGTAGGGTTTTCAAGGCAAGAGAATGACTGAGGCGGTTTGCCACTGACTAACTCTGCATAGTGACCCTTGCTGGTCTCCCGTCCAAATCCTAACCAGGGCCAACCCTGCTTAGCTTCCAAGATCTGATGAGATTAGGCTAGCCTGGGCCAACCAGGTCGGGGTTTACTGCCACAGACAGCCTTTAAAAGAGGAACCTCCATTGGAGGATATTTGCTTGGCTCTGTCAGATCTGTACCAAGCCTCTGTGCCTTCTGAAGGCGCCACCCTGCAAAAGAGCAGGATCGACCGCTGCCCATACCCAGGCATTCCCTGTTGCAGTTTCCACTTAGGGGAAGTCCTGCTTGAGGAGGTCAGGAAGGCCTCCTATTATCACTGGGCAGTTATGACCACTTTCCAATGAAAAGCCGTGTAGACCAGCATTAGGAGAGAAGAAGCAGAGTTGGATTTATACCCCCCCCACCCTTCACTCGGGAGTCTCAGAGCAGCTTACAATCTCCTTCTCTTCCCCTCCCCACAACAGACACCCTGTGAGGTAGGTGGGGCTGAGAGAGCTCTGACAGGAACTGCTCCTGAGAGAACAGCTCTGAGAGAACTCGTGACTGACCCAAGGTCACACCAGCAGCTGCATGTGGAGGAGTGGGGAATCAAGCCCAGTTCTCCAGATTAGATTCCATCACTCGTAACCACTACACCAAACATAAGAACATAAGAAGCTATGTTGGATCAGGCCAATGGCCCATCCAGTCCAACACTCTGTGTCACGTAGTGGCCAAAACCCAGGTGCCATCAGGAGGTCCGCCAGTAGGGTCAGAACTCCAGAAGCCCTCCCACTATTGCTCCCCAAGCACCAAGAATACAGAGCATCACTGCCCCCAAACATAGTGTTCCATCTATATTTTGTGGCCACCACCACTTCCTATGGCAGTGAATTCCATGTGTTAACAACACTTTGGCTGACGAAGTACTTCCTTTTATCTGTTCTAAACCTATTGCTCATTAATTTAATTGAGTACCCATGAGTTCTTGTATTGTGAGAAAGAAGAAGAGATTGGATTTATACCTCGCCCTTCACTACCCAAAGAAGTCTCAGAGTGGCTTACAATCTCCTTTCCCTTCCCCTCCCCACAACAGACACCCTGTGAGGTAGGTTGGGGCTGAGAGAGCTCTTTAGAGGACTGCTCATGAGAGAGCAGCTCTAAGAGAACTTTCACTTGCCCAAGGTCGCCCAGCAGCTTTATGTGCAGGAATGGGGAATCAAACCTGGTTCTCCCAGATTAGAATCCGCGCTCCGAACCACTACACCAAACTGGGAGAAAAATATTTCTTTCTCTGCCTTCTGTATCTCATGCATAATTCTGTAAACCTCTGTCATGTCACCCCTCAACTGCCACTTCCCCAAGTTAAAGAGCCCTAACCTCTTAACTTTTCTTCATAGGAAAGGTGTTCCATCCCCTTAACTATTTTAGTTGCCCTTTTCTGCACGTTTCCCAATGCTGTGATACCTTTTTTCAGAAGCGGTGACCAGAACCGTACACGCCATTCCAAATGAGGTCACCCCGTAGATTTACAGAGCAGCATTATGGCTGATTTCTTTTCAGTTGCCTTCCTAATAATCCCCAGCACAGCACTTACCTTTTTTATTGCAGTCACACACTTGAGTCGACATCTTCAGTGAGTTATCTACCATAACTCCAAGATCTCTCTCCTGGTCAGTTACCACCAGTTCGGACCCCATTACCGTATATTTATGTGAATGTGCATTCAAGTATATGCACTGCTGCTGTTTCCCAAACTAACTGGTCTTACCTTGTACGTTCTCATTCCTGTCAGTTTCCTGTTTGACCAAAGAGGCCAGCAGCCCAGCATCCAGCGGAACTTTCTCTTCCTTGTGAAGATCCATAATCTCTTTGGAATGGCCCTAAAAAAGAGCATGGAGTTGGATTCAAAAGAATGTGAAGAATGATGTTTTTAAGGTGGCAATGGAGGGTGGGTGAGCTCTTGTCATGTCCTGCACAGCCCAAACTCTTTGGACCTTTAAAGTTCTAAGGAGCACGGGTTGCCAACAGGCCTGGAGAAAAATGTCTCACCCTTTTAATGGGAAGGTTACTTAGCTTGTGAAAAGCTTCAGTAGTATGTTACCATGCATGAAGCCTCTGTCAAAGGGACAGGAACTTTTCCTCCAGGCCTGTTGGCAACACATAACCAAGCTGTGAGATCTGTGATTAAGGTCACAGAGGTGTTTTTTAGAGGGAAAGAAAGGATTAATACTGTAGTGCCCGTGAGATTTATGTGTGTGGGCTCGGGGACTGGGGTTATCTCTTCTCCCCACAAAGCGTGTTCCCAATGTGCCTCTCTCTCCTGTGCGCACAACACACACACATGCCCACACACACTAGAACTACTGTTCTTTCCCACAGGGGAAATCGTATGAGCAAGTGTTTCCACTACAGATCAAACAGCAAGGGAATGTCATTTTTAAAGCCTGCGGCAGCCAGATTTGGCTCAGGAGGGTGGCATGAAGAGATTGGATTTATACCCCACCCTTCACTACCCAAAGGAGTCTCAGAGCGGCTTACAATCCCTTTCCCTTCTCCTCCCCACAACAGATGCCCTGTGAGGTAGGTGGGGCTGAGAGAGCTCTCTCGAGGACTGCCCATGAGATAACAGCTCTGAAAGAACTTATGACTGACGTAAGGTCACACCAGCAGCTGCATGTGGAGGAGTGGGGAATCAAACCCAGTTCTCCCAGATTAGAGTCCATGCTCTTAACCTCTGCACCAAACTGGCTCTGAGTACAGGAAGGGCTCCTACATGTCCTCCATGCAGGTCTGTTAAGACAGTTTGGTGTAGTGGTTAAGAGCGTGGACTCTAATCTGGGAGAACCGGGTTTGATCCCCCACTCCTCCACATGCAGCCAACTGGGTGACCTTGGGTCAGTCACAAGTTATTTCAGAGCTGTTCTCTCAGGAGTAGTTCTCGAGAGAGCTCTCTCAGCCCCACCTACCTCACAGGGTATCTGTTGTGGGGAGGGGAAGACAAGGAGATTGTAAGCCGCTCCGAGACTCTAAGTGAAGGGCGAGGTATAAGTCCAGTCTCTTCTTTTTCTGAAACAACTTTGGTGGGGTTTTATTTACCTAAATTTGGAGCTGCCCATGAACTCTTCTAAGCACAGAGCCCAGACCAGACTCATTAAGAAATGTGTAAGAAATGTGTAATCCCCCCTCTGGATGATTCCAATGTTACTCTGTCTCTCTTCTCACCTGTTTCTCCTCTTTCTCGGACTCTAGCTGCATTTGCAGGAACTCCTCAGCCAGGGTCACGGCTTGGATACAGCTCTCTGGGTCCTGTTCCCTCACCCAGCCCTGGACTTCTGCCGGAAGGACAGTCAGGAACTGTTCCAGGGTGACCAGCTCCAGGATCTGGGCCTTGTTGCAGCTCTCTGGCTCCAGCCACTGGCGGCAGAGATCCCAGAGATGGCGGCAAACTCTGCGGGGTCCCTCAGCCTCCTGGTACTGGAACTGCCTGAAGCGCTGGCGCCGCATTTCTTTTCCGAGGACATCTTCCTGAAGAGTGTCGTCTTCTATATCCCCATAGACTTCCAGGCTGTAAGTCTGTGGAGATTCTCCACAGACAGAAAGTGGGAGTCTAGTTCTGCCCTCTTCTTTACAGCATGAGCTCTCAACTGCTGTCCAGAAAGTGTCCAGAAATCCCTTTTTATCATCCTGGGACTCGAAAGGGTTCTGGTTTCCAGGCCGCAATTTGGTAGGGAGTACCTGGGCCTGGAGAACCGGGAGGAGCTCCTTATCTCTTCTCTTCTTGAAAGAAATGGTTTTTCTGGAGCTTTCTGATAGGTTGACTTTTTTTGTGAGGCCCACCAAATCCTTCCATTCCATCTTTCTTCCTGGGTGCTTCCAGCGCAGTCTGTAAGTGGCCACGATCCCTGTTGCTCGTCAGCCTTTTTGTCTCCCACAACCAGCAAGGATTGACCACACAGTTATAGTCTTTCAGGATCACATGGGAGGCATTTCCTCCCCACGGCCATTTTGATTAGATCAATTCAAAAGAAAGAACAAGGCCCCAAGTAGTCTTGTGGTGACAGTCTGGGCGTGTCGTGAAGGTTACAAAAACAGAACTGTGGTATAACTCTGCAGGGGGGGGGGGAATCAGAAGGGGTATTTCTAACGATACAGTAGGAAAAATCGGTTTATTTGAGAAATTTAGTGGCCAAATTTTGAACCCGTGTCCTTTGTCAAGGATAATAAAAGGCACATACATATCAAGATGGAATATTTTCTCCTGTTTTCATTTCAAATGTACCAAATCTCTACAAAAATAATTTTTCACAATTTTTATTAATTTATTTATAGTCCACCTTTCTCACGGGGACTCAAGGAGCATTACACATAGTGAGTCAGTAGGTATGTCAGCCTCCAGGTGGGACCTAGGGATGCCCTGGAATTACAGCTCATTCCCAGACTACGGAGATCAGTTCCCCTGGAGAAAATGGATGCTTTGGTGGGTGGATTATATGGCATTGTGCCCCATTGAGGTCCCTGTCCTCCCCAGACTCCATCCTCAAATCTCCAGGCGGTTCCCAACCTAGATCTGGCAACCCTACCTCCCCAATCCCCCACTGGTGGCCAGGGGAGACCAGGCAACCCTATGAGAAAGTACAATCAACAAAATGGGACATTCAATAAATGAAGGAGGAGGAGGAGGAGACTGGATTTATACCCTGCCCTTCACTCAGAGTGTCTTACAATCTCCTTTCCCTTCCCCTCCCCACAACAGACACCCTGTGAGGTAGGTGAGGCTGAGAGAGCTCTCTCGAGAACTGTCCTTGAGAGAACAGCTCTGAAAGAACTTATGACTGACCCAAGGTCACACCAGCAGCTGTACGTGGGGGGGTTGTGGGGAATCAAACCTGGTTCTCCAAGATTAGAGTCCGCACTCCTAAACACTACACCAAACTGATAGAAGTCTGAACCAACGAGAAATTTAAAAGATTGACTCAAAGCATAGCATAAGTATTAACATGACACATTAAATGGTGCAAAAATGACATAATAGGATTCCACTTACCATAAGCTGTAAACGGCAATATAGACCACAGTCTATAATCATTTATCCAAGTAAATTTGTTAACCGTTTTGTACAGTGCACACCCCTATTACCTGTGCCACAAGGCCCTCTTGAGTAATTCAGTTTTGCATCCTTTGTGAAAGGCCAGGAGACCGGGAGCCTTCCTGACCTTCTGGGGCAGGCCACTCCATAAGGTGGGATTCACAACGGAAAAAGCACACGTATGGGCAGTTCTTGATTTTGCCCCGTTTGCAAGTTGGCACCTGCATATTCTGTACTATGACATTTGTCCATGCTAACAGCATGGTTTTGCCAGATGATATTGTACCTAACTAACCGCCCCACCTGCATGTAATATTTGAGGAAATACATTTCAATGTATGTGAAGAAGCGTGCACATGCTGAGTCTCTGTTCTCCCATGTACAGAGGGTTGAGCTTGGTCTTTCTTGGGGGTGCTGCTGGACTCCCAATTTCATGCTCACATCTTTGTTGACTTTTTCATTGATGTGCTAATTTGCTGCCCTCCGTCGATCCTACCGGCCACCCATTCCAATTTCAGCTCTGTACAGGTGTAGTGGTTAAGTGTGCAGACTCTAATCTGGGAGAACCGGGTTTGATTCCCCACTCCTCCACTTGCAGCTGCTGGATGAACTTGGGCAAGCCATAGTTCTGGCAGAGCTGTTCCCTCAAGGACAGTTCCGGAAAGGGGGCAGAAAGTGGCGGCGTTTGAGCAGATTGCTGGTGTTCAGTCGCTCGCTTAACAGAGTAGTCGGAGAGTGATTCAGCAAGAACACAACTTTATTCTTCAACTCGAACACAACTCCAACACGGATCAACATCTGATAGTCAGAACAGGTTTTACATTGCAGCTGTCCTGCTTTTAAACATTCCCGGCTAATATAGCCACACCCACTGTACACATATCAACCTATGAGGTTGCCAAGATAATGTCCAATCACATTCATTCCCGCTCAGGGAGTTTGCTTGAAGTGATTGGCTTGTTACTTCCTGGGCTAGCAATTCTATTGGATGGATTTGGATCCTAGCCCAGGACGAAGCTCAACATTACATTTCAGTTAGATGTTTCACAACATTGCATTCAAGGCAGCTTTGAATACATTACAGCTGGTTTCAACTAGCACAATGCCAGACTGTTAAAGGCATTAGAGCTAATGAACTTTTAAAGACTTAAATAAACTTTCCCCAAAATATAAACAATGTCTTATCGGGCTGAAAAGATGGCGGCGAAAGCAAAGATTCAACAAGGAACTGCCAGCTCAGCACGTCCGGTTTTCAAACCGGAAGCGAACTTTGACTTTCCAGGCATGCTGGATATGGCATTGCGACCTCTGGTGGCACAGATGACTAACGTCAACAAGACCTTGGAGTCTTTACAAAAACAGCTAAAAGAGTCTAATAAAAGAACAGAAGAAGTGGCAAACAAGACAAAAGCAATTGATCAAAGACTGGAAGTTGTGGAAAAAGAAAGATCTTCAGATAAAACTCAACTTTCGCAGCTACAAATGGAAAAAGCTTCATATGTGCTGAGATTTCAAACCTGAGAAAACAAACCTGAGAATCTAAAAGAAATCCTTAGCGAAGTGCTCACACCAGTGACAGGGATCAAGGCGGAAGTACTACAAAGCGAAATGGATATGGCCTATTGGACATATTCAGAATTTATTAAGAAAAAAACCCTGCCTGGTGAAATATATGTCAGATTCTCTAAGAGATCCATAAGAGATACAATACTGAAAGCAACATCCGGGACTGCACTGAAAATCAAAGAAGAAGAGATCAGAATCCTAAAAGACATTCCATTTGAGATAAGGAAGAAGAGGAAATTATACAAGAACCTAACCACTTATCTACAGGATAAGTCCACCACCTACAGATGGATATTACCTGAAGGTTTGATGTTCAGCTATAAAGGCAAAAAAGAAAAGATTGACTCTCTTATTAAAGCGAAGCAGTTTTTGGAAGGACAGCAAGATTCAGAAAAAGACAAGAAGAACACAGAGGAAGAAGAAGAAGAAGAAGAAGGAGAAGTGGATCGCTCGCAGGGGTTGGGAAGTCATGAAACATCCACAGATGGCAGTTCAGAAGTTGAATCCGAATAAGAACTCGGAGAGGCAGAACCCAAACCACCTCGGGACTATAAAAGCAAGAAGAAAGGTTAAAAAAATAGCTTGAATCTAAGAAGAAAATATTACATTACAAATTCTTGCATTGTTAATAGCTTTAACTTTATGCATATTGAAACATCAGAATGAGATTTTTATTCTTAACGTGAAGAGAAAAACTTTGACTTAAGATAATAATAATTATGATATATGGTCACTGTGTAGCTGTAATTTTAGTTAGTGTGTAGTTTGTTAGATTGTATGTAGAAAATAAAAATAAAAAGTATATATGTATTAAAAAGGGACAGTTCTGAGAAGAGCTCTCTCAGCCCCACTTACCTCACAGGGTGTCTGTTGTGGGGAGGGGAAGGGAAAGGCGTTTGTGAGTGAAGGGCGGGGTATAAATCCAATCTCCTCCTCCTCCTTCTCTGAGTGGCCTCTCCTAACGGCTTACCCCCCTCTTTCCCCCTGTAACTAGCTTTTGAGATTTCATTCCTGTTTTGCCTGAAGAAGTGTGTTTTGCATATGAAAGCTTACACTTTGAATAAAACTTTCTTGGTCTCAAAGGTGCCACTTGACTCAAACTTTCTTCTTCGGCTTCTTGCTGCTTCTGACCAACATGGCTACCCCACCTGAATGTACCTAATATGAGTCTGACTTAGCCTTCAGTTCCTCGCATTTGGGAATGGTTCAAAAACCATTCAAAAACCCTGCTGGTTCCACACGTATGGCAATTCCTTGTGGTTACACCATGTTCAGGGATAAGCACTGTCCGTGTGCTCAGAAACCTCAAATCTCCACTCACCATGTAACCCAACGGGTGACTCTGGGCCAGACAAGTTGCAAAAGCAGGACAACCCTATTGGTCCACACAAAGTCCTCCAGAACAAAAATCTGTCATCTGACAGACCAAATTAGCACAAAACACCAGGCGAGCTTTCAGGCCCACCAGGACTCTTTTAAGACTTAAGAAGACAGAAGGGCGGGAAGCAGATGTGTCAGCCCGGGGTGTGAAAGTCTAATCTTGCCCTGGCTTCTCCTGTGAGATGCCAGCAGGTTATTAACTTTATTGCTGTGGTATAGGGTATAGGAGCTGCGGTGGCTCAAGTGGTTAAGACGCTGAACTGCAGGCTGTGGAAGGTCAGTAGTTCAGCAGTTCGAGACCCGGGTGCCGCATGACGGAGTGAGCTCCCATCTCTAGTTCCAGCTCCTGCCAACCTAGCAGTTCGAAAGCAAGAAATTGCAAGTAGATAAATAGGTACCACTTTGGTGGGAAGGTAACAGCGTTCCGTGTGCCTTGGTGTTTAGTCATGCCGGCCACATGACCACGGAAACGTCTTCGGACAGCGCTGGCTCTTTGGCTGTGAAACGGAGATGAGCACTGCAACCCTAGAGTCAGATTCGACTGGCTTTCGAGCAAGGGAACCTTTACCTTTATAGGGTTTCAGCTCATCTTCTGGGCTGGGAAGCTTTGTTCCACCAGGCACTGTTCCTTTGTTCTTTCACTGAAATACAGGAACCATCCCAAATCCATCCACTATCCTCCCATAGATCAGTTAAGATGCACAGAAGCAATTAAATTAGAGTCAGTGAGCCCATCAGCATCTAACATAATGGTTAGCACAACAGAATATTAAAGACCTGCACCTAAGACATCTGCTTCCCCCGCCCCTCTTCCCTTTTTAAATGTCTGTAACATCTGCCTAACAAAGGGTACTGATGATTCGAAAGCTAGTACCATGGTCTGTGTCATTTTGGTGTAGTTGTTAGCCATTCAGTCCTGTCCAACTGGTGTCCCAGTTACTATATAATACTAATACTTTTATCACTATGTGGATTTTGTTTTCTGACAGGCTGATCTCCTAGAATTGCTGGGCCAGGAAGAGCTTTTAGCTGCACACAAAATTTCAGAAAAGGGGCCTGGATTGCAAAACTATGGAGGGGGTGGTGGTGGGGATGCAGGCATTGTGGAAAGTGTTTCAAACCAGCACAACAGTTGCAAAGACCAACTGCAAATGCAACACCCAGTTTCCAATTGGGGGGGTCCTTTACCCCCCTCCCTAATCCTCAGTTCCATCCCTTCCCCTACCCTCTTTCAACATCAAAAGACTCACCTTTCCGGCTTCTCGCTTCAAAGCGCTACTGGCTAGGTCATTCATCCCAACCTCCTTGGATTTTCTCTCTCTCTCTCCTTTTGACTCCCCACCAACAGGAAAAGGGGTCTGAAACATAACCCTTTACACACACCCTTCTTCACATTTCCCCCTGCCTCTCTAGGAAGCAGAGCTCTGTCCATTTAAACCTGAGAAGGGAAAAGCAAAAAAAAAAAAGTAAAAGGAGCAGCCTAGATTTTCTCTCTCTCTCTCTCTCTCTCTCTCCCTTCTCCCCTTCATTGCCCATCTTATGCAAAACAGAGTTGCTAACAGGCAGAAATTGTCCTGTCCCTTTACTAGAGGCTTAATGAAAAAAGGGGGGAGGGGAAGCGAGGGGATGCTATTTAGCTCAGTTCCATGAAAAACTTCACAGGCCCATTTCCCCACATTTCTCTGTTAGAGGCTGTGCTGACTATAGGGTGAGGGGGGGGGAGGCTGTAAAGCAACTGCCTTCTTAGGGATGCCAGCCTCCAGGTGGGATCTGGGAATCAGTGTTCCCTCTAAGCTCAGTTAGTGTGAGCTGGCTCACAGTTTTTTTAGCCCCCGGCTCACACATTTTTCTCTTCGTTCAGAAAGGATGGCCCCAGAGCAATGTTCCCTCTAAGGTATGGAGTCTTGTGAGCAAAAATTCTACTTTGTGAGCTACTGGCGTTAAAGTTGTGAGCGAGCCATTTGGCTGCTGCATCAATTAGTTTGCTCTGGAGCCATCCCTTCCTGAGCTGAGACAAAAATGTGTGAGCCGGAGCCTAAAAAACTGTGAGCTAGCTCACACTAACTCAGCTTAGAGGGAACACTGCCACAGCAAACTGATTTATGCAGGAGCCAAATCGACCGCTCGCAACTTTAATGCCAGTCGCTCACGAAGGAGAATTTTTGCTCAGAAGACTCCACGGCTTAGAGGGAGCCTTGCTGGGGATCCCCTGGAATTACAGCTCATCTCCAGAATAAAGAGATCCGTTTCCCTGGTGAAAATGGATGCTTGGGAGGGTGGACTCTATGGCACTTTGCCCCACTGAGGTGGTCCCTGTCCTCCCCAGGCTCCATCCCCAAATCTCCAGGAGTTTCCTAGTCTGGATCTGGCAACCCCACCCCCCATCCCCTGCTGGTGGCCCCGGGAGGACCTGGGAACCCTGTACCTTCTGGGCTGAAGAATATCCAATCCCCCCCCCCTGGCTTCTCCTATAGATTCTTTATGCCTGCCCTCAATCGAACAGAAAGGGGGACACAAGCTTTAAATAAAAGACTGGTAGCGTGTAAGCAACGTGCTTCCTGAAGGTCTTTTATCTGAAAACCTGCCAGACCAAGGCTGTGGGGTAAACAGAGATCACGTTTTCTTGGATATTTGACTCGACAGACAAAACATAAGAATATCAGAAGAGCCCTGCTGGATCAGACCCGTGGTCCATCTCGTCCAGCATCCTGTCTCACACAGCGACCAACCAGTTCCCCTGGAGGGCCAATGACAGGGCAGAGAGGCCAAGGCCTTCCCCTGATGCTGCCTCCTGGCCCTGGGATTCAGAGGATTAGTGCCTCTGAATGGGGAAGTTCCCCTCATAAGATCATAAGAAGAGACGCCAATGTTGGATCAGGCCAAAGGCCCATCCAACACTCTGTGTCACACAGTGGCCAGAAATACCAGGTGCCATCAGGAGGTCCACCAGTGGGGCCAGGACATTAGAAGCCCTCCCACTATTGCCCCCCCAAGCACCAAGAATACAGAGCATCACTTGCCCCATAGTCCCTATCTATAACTTGTGGCTAATAGCCACTGATGGACCTCTGCTTCATATCATATATTCTAATAGCCAACAGAGGGCACCGTGCGGATACTTAGATTGAGGGAAAGAAAGCTCCGTGGGCCTCAGACTCTTCTCCTACAGACCCAGCATGCTTCCATTATGTGCAGAAAAATCGAAAAAGTGACAAAATCGCTCCAGGGATGACTGAATTCCCCCCAAAACCCTTTGAAATGGGCTCTGCAGGGCTCTGCTTCAGACACCAACGGTGAGAGAGAGGTTAGAACGTTGGGGGGGGGGGAGAAGAGGCTTCTAACTGCTCTGTGGGGGAAGGGCCCTTTTGCCAGGCCTCCGTTGGCCTTTCAGGGAGGGAGGGAGCCTTGGGGCCTGGCCTGGGGAGTCCCTAGAGGTTTTGAGGTGGGATTGGGGAAGGGAGAGGCCTCAACTGGGTATAATGCCACAGAGTCCACCTTTTAAAACAGTCATTTTCTCCAGGGAGACAGATCTCTGCTGCCTTGAGTTCAGTTGTAAGTCTGGGGGGGGTTGTTCCTTCAGGCCCCACTTAGAGGTTGCCAAGCCTGGGCCTGCCAGCACTTTAGGGTTGCCAGGTCCCCCCCGGCCACCGACAGGGGATTCTGGATAAGGTTGCCAGGTCCAGGCTGGGACACTCCTGGAGATTTGGGGGTGGAGCCTGGGGAGGACAGGGACCTCAGTGGGGTACAATGTCACAGAGTCCACCCTCCAAAGCATCCATTTTCTCCATGGGAAGTTATCTCTGTAGTCTGGAAATGAGCAGGAATTACAGGGGATCCCCAGGTCCCACCTGGAGGCTGGCATCCCTCGGCAGCACCCTCTGGGTGACTTGATACCACCTGATTTGCATGACAAGTAGGCCCAGCTGCTTGCTACTCTTCATCAGCAGCCACCCTATGAAAGCTGGGTTGTTGTGCAGATAAAAAGTAGGAGAGAATAATGTAAGCTGTTTTGGTCCCCACTGTGGAGAAAAACTGTAATTTTCCTAGGTAGAGGCTGTGGGGGAGGGGTGTGGAGATGGAAAGTTGCAGACAGAGAGGCAGATAAAGGTAGGTTGGCTGTTGGGTGGGAAGGAAATTGTGTTGCCAACTCCAGGTTGGGAAATTCCTGGACATTTGTGGGGTGTAGACTGGGGAGGGTGGGATTGGAGGAGGGAAGGAACTACAGATCAGTATAATGCCATAGCTGGAGGAGAAAAAGAAAAGGGGGGCAGAAGGGAGAAAGAGAGTGAGACAGGTAGAGGGAGACAGGAGGAAGCAAAGGTGTGAGGAACAGGATAACCATTCCGCAAGTTTCTTGCGGGTCTCCACTTGTACTTATCTAATTCCCTTTTGAAGCCGTCCATGCTTGTAGCTGCTCAGTCACCATGGCTAGCAACCATGAACAGACTTCTCCATGAATCTAATTCCCTTCTAAAGCTGTTTATTCCTGAAGCCATCACTACATCCTCTGGCAGTGAATTCCACATTTGAATCGCTCTCTGCGTAAAGAAGTATTTCATTTTGTGCACCCTGAATCGACAAAATTCAGCTTCAGTGGAGTTGAACAAAAAATGGTTCATTTAACAGCCAAATGGCTCGCTCACAACTTTAGTGCCAGTAGCTCACAAAGTAGAATTTTTGCTCACAAGACTCCACAGCTTAGAGGGAGCATTGCCCCTGAGGGAAGATTTGATTCTCCTTTCTCTGGACACGTTACCTCAGCAGGTTCTTTTCTCTCACAGAGCACCTTTCCACAGAGCCTATACAGACCAATTAGGAATTATGGGCCCTTAACAGGTTGCTTATTTGTCACACACAAAAAAGCTTTCTTCCCTAAGCTGACCCCCAAACCCTAACTAAAAACAGGTTTGCCAACCTCCATGTGAGGGCTGGAGAACTCTTGGAATTACAACTGATCTCCAGATTACATCAATCACTTGTCATTTATTTATTTATTTTAAACATTTATTCTGCTCTCCTGGGGAAAATGGCTGGTTTGGAAGTTGGGCTATATAGTATTATACCCAACCAAGGTCCCTCCCCTCCCTAAACCCCTGTCTCCCAGACTTATGGGATCTGAAAGCAACATGCATCAAGTTTATCCACAGTGAACATAAGAACATAAGAAGTGCCCTGCTGGATCAGACCAGTGGTCCATCCAGTCCAGCATCCTGTCTCACACAGTGGCCACCCAGTTCCTCTGGATGGCCAGCAACAGGGCACAGAGGTATAAGTGCTTAGAGCAGAGGATGAGGGCAAATTATTTCTTTACTTGATTTATACCCAGCCTCAGGGGTTATTTCCTGCGGGAGCGCACAGGATCGGAGCTCCGGCAGTAAGGAGCCCAGGGGGCGGGCACATGCAACAAGCGCACGTGTGCATCACCCGGAAGTGACATCGCATGCTGGGGGTGGGGCGACGCCATTTGAGGGGAAAACAAAGAGTTTCCCCCTCAAATGGCGTGGCTCCGCCCCCAGCGTCCGATGTCACTTCTGGGTGATGCGGACGCGGTGCGCATGCATAGCGCGCGCGCACGAAGAGGACGCCGGCCGGGAGCCCCCCACTCCCGGCCAATTTTGATTTGGCAACCCTACCCCACCCCCGCCTTCAGGTACAAGCTCTCCCTCCTCTGTGAGGACAGATCTGTGCGTTCCCCCCCCCCAATAGCTAGCATTCCAAAACAGTCCAGTGGAGCCTGAGCGGTGGGTGTTGCCTTCTGACACACTTCCAGTGGTCAGGGGGTGTGGCATATGCAAATAAGTTATGCTAATAAGTTATGCTAATGAGCTCCTGCACCTCTTTTTCTACGAAATGACCCCTGCCCAGCCTTTCTTCCCAATGGGGACCCAAAGAGGCTCGCATCGACCACCTTTCCTCTACTTTATTCTTATGACAATCCTGTGAGGTAGGTTTGGCTGAGAAGGTGTGACTGGCCCCAGGTGAGGAAGAGTGAGGATTCAAACCCGGGCTCTCCCAGATCTTAGTCTGACGCCCTAAGCACTTCACCACACTGGCTCTTGAATTTGGAGCAGAGGGTGGACCATGTCACTTATCCAGTAAGGTCCTGAGGGGAACTCCACCCTGGAGGCCAAGAACAGGCATAGTCGAGACACAAGCTCGGGTGGCCAACCTCCAGGTGGTACCTAGAAATCTATCTCCTGATGACCAGGATCAGTTTCCCTGGAAGAAAATGGCTGCTTTGGAAGGTAGACAATAAAATATTATACCTTCTGAGGTCTCTCCCTTCTCCAAACCC